GATGCTTGGGGATCCAACACAGGGGCAGGCATGACAACGTGCAGATCTGTCCTCGCAGAGGAGGGAGAGCTTGTACCTGAATAAAACTTGGTCTTAAAGGTGCCACTGGACTGTTTTGGACCGGGGGGGGGAGCTCTGCAACTTACCTGGCTGCTTCTTGCTCTGACTGAGGGCTGCTGGGGGTGGGGCTTGTTGCATGTGCCCGCCCCCTGGGCTCTTTACTACCGGAGCTCCGCTCCTGTGTGCTCCTGCAGGAAATGACCCCTGGACGTCCCTTAAAGAACCACTTGCCCTTTCCTGAGTACGGAGTTTCAGACATTATGTGTTGTTATGCAGGAAATGACCCCTGAGTAGAGATAAGTTAGAAACTGTAGCTTACCTCTGGCATAATGTATTGCCAGCTCTGGGTTGGGAAATTCTTGGAATTTTTGGGGATAGAACCTGGAGAGGGTGGGGTTTGGGGAGGGGAGGGGAGGGAACTCGGCAGGGTACGATGCCCTCTAAAGCTGCCCTTGTCTCCAGGGGAACTGATCTCTGTCGCCTAAAGATCAGATAGAAGTCCAGAAGCCACCACCTGGAGGTTGGCAACCCTAGCATGATTACTGATCCCAATTGTCCAAGGAGGAAATGCTACAAGAACTGAAATTCTCAACACGTTTACTTGAAATCAACATTGCAATCCTAAGAACAGTACCTTGGGAGTAAGTTCCGTTGAAGAAACTGTTGTAGGATTCTGATTAGATCTGCTTACGTTTGCTAAGTCCCCATGATTTCTGATTTGTCACTGATGAGTTCCATTACTATTGTGACGGGAGCCACTCTTCTCATGTCTCTTCTCATGCCACATCAGGAATGACTTTACAGATTAAGCAGAAGGGGCAGGTAGTGGTGTTAGTTTCTCCCCATATGAGTGTCCCCATTCCCTGCGGGGCTGGTAACCCTGCAGTAGGGAAAACCCACATAATTTGCCCAGACTAACTTGTTCCTGTATACAGATATTACTGGTTTAGTATTGGATTGAGCTATTTAAAGAATTATGCACAGGCTCACAGTCATTGCTTTTGGGTATACCGATGTAAATAAGATATCTGTATTGCAAGTATATTTCTTGGTTTCGAAGACTGTAAGTATTTGTGCTTTCTCTTTAGGGTAAACACTTGTATATTTTTCACTAGGACTCAAATTTACTCTAAAGCAAATTATGGTGTACCAGCATTTATATCTTGGGTATCCTTTGAATTCATGAACTTTTCCCCTTGATGGTGAAGAGATGATGGCGTCTCCTTTGTTCCAGCATCTCTATTAATCTGCGCTAGTTTAATTCTGCCAACCATATAAGGAAATGAGGATAAGCTGTTTAAGTGTGGGCTGGATGGTGCAACTGCTGGATGGATTCATGGTTGGTTGAAAAATCGTACCCAACGAGTGCTCGTAAATGGCTCTGCGTCTACGTGGAGGGAAGTCTCGAGTGGAGTGCTGCAGGGCTCAGTCCTGGGCCCAGTGTTGTTCAATGTTTTTATAAATGACCTGGAGGAAGACATAGAGGGGATGCTTATCAAATTTGCAGATGACACGAAGTTAGGTGGGATTGCTAATTCTGAAGAAGGCAGAGTCAGAATTCAAAATGATCTAGATAGGCTGGAACAGTGGGCTGAGACAAAATGAATTTCAATAGAGATAAATGCAAAGTCCTACACTTAGGTACAAAAAATCAAAGGCATAGATATAGAATGGGAGGGACTTGGCTTGACAGCAGCACATATGAAACGGATCTAGGTGTTCTGGTTGATCACAAGCTAAACATAAGCCTGCTGTGGGATGTGGCTGTGAAGAAAGCGAATGCAATCTTAGAATGTACTAACAGAAGCATTGTGTCCAGATCAAGGGAGGTGGTAGTTCTGCCCTATTCTGCTATGGTCAGGCCTCACCTGGAGTACTGTGTCTAGTTTTGGGCACCACATTTTAGGAAGGATGTTGACAAGCTCGAGCGTGTCCAGAAGAGGGCAACCAGGATGGTGAGAGGGTTGGAATCCAAGTCTTATGAGGAAAGGCTGAAAGAGTTGGGTATGTTTAGCCTGGGAAAAAGAAGGCTTAGAGGGGACATGATTGCAGTCTTCAAGTATTTGAAGGGCTGTCATGTAGAAGATGGAGCAGATCTCTTTTCTCTTGCTCCGGATTGCAAGACTAGATCTAATGGTTGGAAATTACAAGGGAGTCATTACCAGCTAAATATTAGAAGAAACTTCCTAACTGTAAGAGTGGTTGAACAGTGGAACAGTCTGCCTTGGGAGGTGGTGGATGCTCCTTTGCTAGACGTTTTCAAGCGGAGGCTGGACAACCATCTTTTAGGTATGTAGGGCTATCTTTCAGCTATGCTCCTGCAGAGTGCAGGGGGTTGGACTAGATGACCTGCAAGGTCCCTTCCAACTCTAACATTCTATGATTCTATGAAATGGAACAGACAGGGCTGCTTTTTTCTTCTACCCACAGTTCCAAGTCATAGTGATAATGTTTTATGAGAGGTAGTAGCTCAAGGACACCAAACCAGCAGTACTTGTGGAAGACCACAGAAGACTATATAGGCTTCTCATACATAGTCAAAGGAGCTCATTTCCTAACCCCACATTTTGGAGGTTATTGTGAAGACATGAACTACGTAGAAGCTTGATGATGACACGGAGAGAGAGAATTAACTAGGAGGCTGGAGCAGTGACTGATGACAGTGAGGTAAAGCATTTGTGAGATGTGTGGCTTCACACTCCAGGAATAAGGAGCAGAGAAAGACTGCTCTCAGTAGAATACCCAGTTAGGCCTTTGGTTAAACAGGCTTTATGCTAACCATATCCTCTCTCTGCCATAATTTTCCAGGGCCCATTCCCCTTCAGATACTTACTTACATGGGAAAAAAGTGTTGTTTTTTTCAAGTGCTGTGTGTTACTTAAGGACAGCAAAGGTTCGGAAAGGCCCCAGGTCTTAGAAGGGAAGAAGTGCAGGCTTTTCTTCCTGTCAGAGTCACTGGCTAGATAAGATGAAGTGGATTGTAAAGGAAAATATTCTCTTGGGATAATTGAACATAACGCATTTGTTGTTAATAAACCATGAGCAATAAATTGTCCCTGATTATTCCATTTTAAACCAAGGTATGCATTTTTGGTTGGTTTCTTGTGCCTGAAAGTGCCTATCTGCAGCATCATGGAAACTGCAGATGACATGACAGGATAGCATTAGGAATAGGCATGGGCCTAAAAGTTTTTTTAAAATGTTTTTGGTCCCATTTCAGAGTGTGATTTTCAAACTGAATGGGGGGGCGGGGCCAGGGATAATTCCCTCATATCTGGTGGATGGATTTGGACTGAGTCTAGATATTCCCCATCACGAGTAAACACTTTCAGATGCCAACATAGTTTTATCCTTCCCTTGTCCCTGTGTCAACTTTTCTTAACCCATAGTATTTCATTTTTGTTTAGTTGTTCCTTGGAAACCACATTTTAAAAGATAAAGATAGTTTACCACATCCTGTACTTCTTGCAGCTTCATGTTTGGTTGTCATTGTGTTGGTGAAATCCAGCTGCCTTCTTGTTTCATTAGCCAGGATACCATGAGTAATTATAAATAGTTACAACGACTGAGCTGCTAGAGCCTTTGTTGATGTGTCTAATGTGCTTTTTTATGTTTTTCCACAAGTTCCCAACAAACTGTGTAATTTTATGAACTTTTTTTATATGTTTATATGGTGTGTTTTGAGAAGACATTTAATAAAATTTATTAAATAAAAGAATTAAAAAAGTCCTGTCTGCAGAAGATCGACCCTTGTCATTAGAGTCTCACGACTGCCTCTTCCCATTTTCTTTTGACCCCCAGCTCTCTCCAGGATCTGAGGATGATGAGGGGCATGACAGCTCTACCCGGGAGAACCTCGGCCGAATCCAGTTCAGCGTTGGTTACAGTTTTCAGGAATCTACCCTGACTGTCAAAATATTGAAAGCTCAGGAGCTGCCAGCCAAGGATTTCAGTGGTACCAGTGATCCTTTTGTCAAAATTTACCTCCTGCCAGATAAAAAACATAAGCTAGAGACAAAAGTGAAAAGGAAGAACTTAAACCCACATTGGAATGAGACCTTTCTCTTTGAAGGTAAGATGGTCTAGCGTGGACATTTATTTATTTATTTATTAGATTTATAGCCCGCCCTCCCCGTGAGCGAGCTCAGGGTGGTTCACAAACTGGGCACGTATGCCAAGGGTTAAAACAGTTAAAAACAAGATAAAACCGTCATTTATCATCATTTATCACAATACAAGGTGCTCTTGGTGTCTCAGAAAGCTCTTCAGTCACAGGATGGCATCCTGGTGGTGATGGTCCCAGGTCGGTGATATCCATTCCAGGCAGCGCTGCCGTTCATCTGTCACAGGGCCATCTCGCCACCATCACCCCCCGATGTTGCCCAGCCCCGTTGGTGGTGATTGATTATAGAGAGCATGGATTTATTTTGGCTTCAGGCGAGACACTTTGTGCTTCATTTCTCTACCTACCAGCTGTGTTAAATGCTTATCTTCATTGGCAGAAAGCAAGGGCAAGTGATATTGAAACATGAAAGTGCCAGGGAAAGATGCCAAATGGAAACAGACCACTGATCCATTTGATCTGGTGCCCCTGTACTAACCATTTGGGGCAGTTATCACTTCATGGAACTGATTCTACTTTGGCAGTAGAGGAGGGGGAGGGACTTTCCGGGAGTGGGGGGAGTGCACGATGTGCAAGTGACATAATGATGTCATGCAGAAGTGATATCATCGTGTTGCCAACGTTGCACGGCAATGCTCTGGTATTTTGGGCAAAACTCTGATTATCATAGACTTTTGCCCAAAATACCAGAGCATCACCACGTGGCATTGCCGACATGATGAGTTCACTTCCATGTGATGTCATTACATTGCATTGGGGGGTGGGATGTCCCCCGCCAGGCAGCTGGCCAGCGGTGAGAACCAGGCCTGAAAATCAGGGGACCCCCCCAGCCCCCAACTGGGGAAGGGCATCATGGTCTGGACCAGCCAGTTATGTGTCACAGTGGCCACCAGGAACACAGTGCTGATGTGAAGTCTCTATGAATAATGAGGATAATCACATAGACAATGGTTTTCTGAATGGAAACATTTCTATCGTCCTTCTGCATGGGAGGGGGGCTGTAGCATGACAAATGCCTTTATTATTTTATGTACAGAGTCGGACACACTTTCTGGGAATAGGCATTCAGTTACAGTGTACCATCTGCTGTACTATCAGGTTAGGGTCGTTGTTTGTATTCATGGAGGTGCACCTGAAAGGGAGCTCCCATAACAAAAGTATAATGTTGGAGGGGGTTATACCCCTGTCTATTAATGAGTCAGACACAGATGTACCTGAGAATGTGGAAACAACTTAAAAGTACTCCTTCAAGAGGTGCAGCTATAAATCCATCCTAGAGTGATATTTGCAAAGCAACCCCTTGGGGTGTGCTTGAGCCAGTAGGGCAAGGATTTAGGGCCCTTTGGGATATTTGGCCAAGGAGGCCCCTTAACTGGCTGTAAAGGAATGAGGGGGCAGCATGTCAAGTAAAGGATGGAGGAGAGTAGGAACACTGCCCTCAAGGGACTCTGGGGTGTGCTCTCCCTTGGCATGGACCTGGCCAAATCATGGCAATGTGTATTGCTTCCAGCCTACCTGGATCCCATGCAAGATGTAGATACTGCCTATTGGTCAGCTGGTATCTTAGGATATTGGTCCCAATATACACACTCATGTCAGAGGATATATGACTTCTCACTGCGATATTTTTATCCCACCCTCCCACCAAGGACCTCAGGGCAATGTACATTCTTCCCTTCCCCGTGTTATCTGTACAACAGTCCTGTGAGATATGCCAAACTGAAAGAGAGGGATTAACCCAAGGCCACCCAGCGAGCTTTGTGGCTGTGTGAGGCTTTGAATCTAGTCTCCCAGTCCTACTCTCATACTCTAATCAGTACACAAAACTGGCTCTCACACAGTCTTTTCGACCCTTTCTACATTCTCCTTTTGATCCATGTTCACCACAGCATCCTCCAAGCAATTCTGCACTAAAATTGAATTCAACCTTCTTTTAAATCCAGGTTTTTTCCCCCCATTCTGCACTAATATCAAGTTCAACCTTCTTTTTATTCTGTGTTTTTTCCTCATTCTGCATTACATTACCTCCCTTCTGTGGTCACCCCAGTTTCAGCCTGCTGTTGCCCCGGGTTATTTGGATGCTGTTTTGCCCTGGACTTAAATTGCCTCGACTCAAACACTGAGAAAATCTGGAGTGTCACTCCAGATTTTCTCAGTATTAGTTTGTTGCTCACAGCCATGGCATTCATCTTAATGCATTTTCCATATGTGCGTACTTCTTTCCTACCCAAGATACTGTGCATCTCTGCAGCCACCCACACACTACTAACTTTGATGAAGGGTGCAAAAGGGGTGAAGGTAGAGTTTGAGATTTCTCCATGGGGAAAGGAAGTGGTCAAGATTGTGGAAGGTCTTAAACAACCCCTTTTCAAAGAAATTATCAGAAGGGTGTTCAACTGTGATTCTGGTTGCAGGAATAGGGTTATTTCTATACTTTCACCTTTTTAGCTGTGGAGAACTAATCCTAACAAAAAGAAAAAAGCCTGATGATGAAGGAAGAAGGGTGAATGAATATCTGAAGGCAACAGCATTGCAAGACATTTAAGCTAATTATGAGATGTTCGGTGCATCTTGAATAGGGTGCCCACTTCCACATGCAGAAACCAGTAAGAGAAATGTTTATCAGAAAATCCAGTGCTAACACTCTTTTCAGTAACCCCACACAAAAGCAAGAGGCTTCAGAAATATCCTACATAATTCCTCCATACTGTTCAGCTTCACCATTTGCCGTGTTCATGATCATCCCTTTACTTTTATCTACTATCTTTACCTCCTGCCAAATCAGATCATGCCACTAGTCCATCACATTTAGTGCCGAAACTCGGATGGAGGGGCAAGGGCCTTATGCTGCCAGGAAAAGGCCAAAAACCTTCACCTGTGATCTGAGCACCATGATGGGTAGGGTATGAGATTCTTTCCTGGCCCTTACATCAGCTAGCCCGTTCTCCGAAGCATCAAGTGTGATGGATGGAAATAGATTACTATCCATTCATCAGAAATACCTACAAATATTACTCAAGGCTGCAAGGTTGCCCAGAAGCATGTGGGCCAGGCATGTGTGGCCTAGATCAATTCATTTTATTTATTTATTTATAAGTTAGACTTATCACCCAGTCTGAGTCCACAGAGTTCTGGGTGATGTACAACATCAAATAAAATACAATAAAAATCAGTAAGTACGGTCTTAAAAACAGTTCCCCAATGGCGTCCATAGATCAATTTTTAAACCACTTCCAGATTGTGTTGCGGCCTCACAGGCAGGGTAGGGAGAAAGCCGAAGAAAGATGGAATAAAGGAGGGGGTTCCAGCCATGATAGTACCCGTTCTGTCCTCAACCAAAACAACAGTATCCCAAAAACAGTTTCACAGAACCAGAATACACAGCAGGAAAACCTAACACATCTGTGAAAACGACCCTGTAAAAAGCACAAGGAAAAGTCCATATATAATGGGAAATGAAAATAAACTTGCTTGCAGACAAGGTCACAATGCTTCTAAGTTCCAAAAGTCCAATTTTATTTAAGAGGTTTCTGGATATTAATACACTCCTTTCAAGCAAATCTTCATCAGAATATTTTCTTAAAACAATTACGCCAGTAGGGTCCCTGTGCATAATCCACAATCAAAAACAGTTGCAGATATCTCCTGTCTAGGGTGATGAATAATTCTTAAGAGGACAACTAGTCTCAAAAAGATAAACCTGTGAAAATTCTGAATCATGCTTTTATGTTCAGCAATCCATGTTCATATCACCCTCCAGGGTCATCCAATCCCCTGCACAATGCAGGAAATTCACAAATACCTCCCCCTCCACACCCATAGTGACCACTGTTCCATGCCCAGAAGATGACAAAAAACCTCCAGGATTGCTTCCTGACCCCAAAGTAGCAATCAGCATTTCCTTGGGCGTGTAAAAAAGGGCCACAAGAACTAAGTACTGAGGCAACCTGTGACGACCCCTTCACTGGGGAGGTCTGGTTTCCCTTTAAAAGTGTTCTTTATGTTTTTCTCTACTGGGTAATCCGGCTGCCACCAGGAAATTTAAGGCTTTCCAAACCTTTATAATATAATATTCATCACTGGGTAGGTATATCGAGGATTTAGGCTTTCATGAGGGTCTATGTGTTTCCTGGGAAGAATTGGTATCTTATATAAAAGTAGATTTATTGATATTTCACACACTTTTCTCTCCCACTGTCAGGGATCTGGGCATGTAACTTTGTAACACTTTTTTCTTTAAGTCCATATAATCTTTACTGTTTCCTAGACACTCAGCTTCAGCTTATAACTGTTTCAACACAGAACTGCTTAGCACTTTCTTTCAGACACAGCACTTAACTCTCATATCACACACAAGAAGGTCTCTCCTTCAGACCCCAGAACTAAACTCATCCCACACAGGGATGGGTCTCACTCCTCTCATACACAGAACTTCTGCTTCTCTCCCAGAAATCAGAACTTAACTGCTTAACTGAACATCAACTGTCTTCATCAACTGTCATATCTCTGACACTCTTGACTGACATATCTGCTCATCCACACAGAATCATTTCCAAAACCCCTCCCCCTCTCTGTCACTCACCAATCACACCACTTGCTTGTTTCCACTACTCTAGACTATCATACAGCCATGCATCCAAACTTTTAAAAAGACACACACACATTACCGCTCTAACTGTCAGGAAGTTCTTCCTAATGTTTAGCCGAAAACTCTTCTGATTTAATTTCAACCCGTTGGTTCTGGTCCAACAGAAAACAACTCCACGCCATCCTCTAGGTGACAGCCCTTCAAGTACTTGAAGATGGTTATCATATCACCTCTCAGTCGTCTCCTCTCCAGGCTAAACATACCCAGCTCCTTCAACCTTTCCTCATAGGACTTGGTCTCCAGACCCCTCACCATCTTCATTGCTCTCCTCTGGACCATGTTCCAACTTGTCTATATCCTT